CCCTCCCCCCGCGCACCCGCTCAGCCCTGCCGCCCCGCCCGGCTGCAGCGGTCCTGGAGCAGCCGGCCGGCCTGAGCGCCCCTCGCAGCCGCACGGTCGTTCTCCACTGCCCGCCGCCATGGACGTGTACCCCCCGCGCGGGCTGGGGATGCCTCGCCTGCGGCCCCCCGGCGGCTCCAGCCGCGGGTCGCCCTTCATCAGGTACGCAGGGCCCGGGCCGAAGAGGGGCGGCCGGGCCGGGGGTTGCGGGCTGGCGGGGTCCGGCGACGCCTCTCGCCGCAGGGCGTGGCCCGACATGGCTTCCTCGCGGGCCGTTCTCCCCGAAACGGCTCTCTGGGGAACGTTAACCCAGGAACAGGGCCCTCTGTAGAGACTCCGACAATGGCTTCTCTATAGACCATCTCACAACGACTCCCTTGTAGAGACCCCCTACTATGACATCTTCACCCTATAGATCGTTTTTCCCAGGAAAGATTTCCCTGTAACGAACCAGCGCAGTGGCTTTCCTATAGATACCCCGCTTGCTTTCCCTATAATATGTTTCTTCCAGAAACGGCTACCTATGGAGACCCCATACACACAACAATAGATCCCCTGTATAGAACGCCGAGTGAGTTTCCCCAGAAACGCCTTACCTATAAAGACCCCCTACCGCAGATCCCCTCTAGAGGCTTCCCCCTTGACTGTGGCTTCCTTAAAGAATGCCCCCCACCCCCACACCCCGACAGCAGCTCCCCTACTGCGCGTTTCCCCACCCTGCTTCGCGGCTCCCCCTCACTTCATAATAGAGAGCTCAGGTTAAGGGGAGGTGGAGGTCATTAGGGACGCAGAAGAGAAAGCCATCTGGATGGAGATGGCAAAGAGGCACAGAACCCCCGAAAGTGGTGGGCGCCTGGCCCCTAATCCTAGAGACAGCCTCCAGTGGCTTCAGGATAGGGAGGGTACTGGGGAGGGCTCCACCCCCGTCCCCTTTCGCCTCATCGATGTAGGAAGATCCGTTTCCTATTTCTGCTCCCAGTGCCTTTGGGTCTGACCTTGATAGTCTGGGCATTGTTTGCGATTGGAAGTGGTGTGTGGCTGCCAGCGGGATGTGGAGGCTGGAATGATGGAGGGGTTGCGGCGGAAACCGTTGAGAGGGAAGGAGAGAGAGAAGGAAAGAAATGAGCTTTGGTTTGCTAAACTGTCATTAGACCAAAAGAGGCCTTTTGTTTGCTTTTTCTTTATTCTGGGCACTTAGTAAGGCAAGTATGGTACTTTAACCTTGAAAGGAGATTGTCAACTTACATGTTAGGACGACTTTACCTATATTCTTTATGGTACTTAGGGCATTGTATTTTAGCTTTTTGTTAGCCAGTCTGTTTTTTGCTTTGTTTTTAACTAGACCAAGTTCATGGAAAGCGAGAACTAAATCTTAGAACCCTGTTCCTGTCTTATTTCTCCAAATCTCCGCCTGCAATTAATACACGTTTGTCGAATGAATAAAGGTTAGGGTAGATGGGGCTAGATACTGATGAAACCATGCATTCAGGAGTCCTAATATGCTTCTTCATCAACTCCACTGCAGCAGGTTAGGGTTAATTTGCTTCTTATTTGACAGGTGATGGCGTTTGAACTGCTGGTTGGCTCTTCAGTGGGATGCC